TATAAAATATATATGTTTCCAAATGTGATAGCAAAGAAGTTGTATCTGTTGTCCTTTCTTCAGTGATCTCTCCCAGCTGAGCTCCTGCAAAGCATTCTGATCAACAGTGTCTTCTTCTGACATGATGGGATATGCAAAGACCACACTAACCAAATCTGGCTAAAACCTTAAGGGCATTTCTGACCTACTCATGTCAAAACAGAAGGAGACAATAACAACTGATGGCCAACTGGACCTTCTAAATCTGACCAACTAAAAGAGTTGGTCTAAATTGTATTAAGAGTGTCAGGCCTCTCACTGGATAAAGCTAAACATCATGGGCCCAGCTGAATTTCAGTGTGCCATCAATGGCTGCTTTACTGTGCCTATGTCAAACTTTTCATGTGTAACTGAAAACGAATAAAGAAGCTCTTTGAGAAAAAAGGGGCATTTATTCTGAAGCAGGGTACATTTCCTTCCACACCGCTATGCCCACTAATCCGTGCCAGGAGCCCTCATTCAGACCTTTCATCAATAACAGCCAAGGATAAGAGAACAGAAGAGGTCTGCAGTCAACTGTAAAAGCCATTTTATACTGTGCCAAAACTAGTGCAATGCTAAGCCCACAGGATTTTGGAGTGACATGCAGAGTAAGAAGCCGTTGATCACAGTGTTTAAAAGGATGTGGACTGGGAAAGATCAATGAAAAAAGGATAACAACTAACTCAGTTTTGCATGGAGAATATGTATGACCCTGTAAACATTGTATTAACTTTTCAGTCAGGAATAATGGGCATAGATCTCTTCACATGAACTCTGCAACAGCAAATCAATTATATCAACATGCAGAAAAGCTGTAAACCAACATTCCACTGAATGCTGAATCTATCAGAATTGGGAGGCAGAAAGTCCCTGTCACTAGGAAGTGCCTTCCTCAGAAATGCAAAAATGTGTCATCAAAAACAGTTGTATAAATTTGTACTATCAAAAACAATTTAGAAAGTGTAAAGCCTCTTTACCATAAACAAAAAAAAAATTGTTATTGTAGCCAAAGCAAGACCTGGCTGTAGTTACAACTACTGAATTATGGGTATGCCTACATGAGTTCTGTTTTAGTATCCTTGTTTCCAACGTTTTTTGAGCAACACAAGTGCTCTCCTGAACATTTTAAAGGTCTCCTGAAGGTCTCGCTAAAAAATGAAAACAAATAAGAAAGTCTTCAAAATGGAAAAGTCACACAGGAATGCTTGGTGTGGGAGTCATGCCTTCTAATTCTGGTCATCTAGACTTTAGTCCAACATAAGATAATTCTCTAGGATGTTTCTAGTGGCTGTTTGGGATTGCCTGCCTCCCTCCATAAACCAGATTTATCTTTTTCATGTAATGGGAACACATAATTGGCCAGTGCCTCAAAAGGTACCTACATGTTCCCTCAGTTTTGTGCTTTTTGTAGCTCTAGAACAATGAGTTTTATTAACAAATGTTCATTTAGAAGACCTGATATGATGGATTTAATTCCATTGGTTTGGAAAATTCCAAGTCAATACCAATTTTTTTTTTTTAAATAATTTGAAAAAACCCTGTATCTTATTTTGATGCTCTTCAAAGTTGTCAAATGTTGATAGACATAGAAATGGGTCCTGTTACAAGAAACAGTTTAAGCAAAGGTAAGTTATATGGCATTTTTCATGATCTTTTATAATGAAAAATGTCAAAACATCTTGGGTCAAATAGGGATATTATTAAAAAGGAGCATAGCACAAATATATTTACAGCATTGTCTAAATTTTCTACTACCTGATAGGAGTAATTACAGTAAACTACCTCTACAGCGTAGGAAAATCCTGTGCATTCAGTGTCCTGTACTTTATAGAATATAAAATGCTAAAGAGCTAAGAATACAGTGTCTGCTTAAATATGTCACAAAAATATTGCAGTTCCTTGTTTCTGCTCCGTAGAAATTATGTCTCTCACCCACATACATACAAATACATAGCTGAAACATTTTCTCCTACCTAACTCTGCTGTCAATGACATACCAAAAAGACATACTTATGTAAAAGTTTCTAAGGTATGCGATGTGCCCCTACAAAGGGATAGTCATTCAGTGGTAGCAGACAATCTCACTACAGATGCTTTAAGAGCTGAGATGGGATCTCTTTCTACATTTGTATATAGCCCCTGTTACTATCAGTTCAAAAGCTTCTCAAGTAGGCCCATCACAAATTCTGAGATACCTATGCAAAATAAAAGAGCAATTCATTACTTCTATAATTTATGAACTCTTGGAAATATTTTTTTAATTATGCTGCCTCTTTTGGTGGTAATACCTTTCTACTGCACTGGTAAATGTGGCCCACTGTGCCAAGTATTGTTACTTTCTGTACAGATCATATGCAAGGAAGCAGGGTAGTTGAATACAAGTGAACCACATATAAAAGCATTTATAGAAATACATATTTTTGCATCCTACCTGCAATTGTAATGAAACATTCACTAAAGCTGTGTTAAATACCCTCAGGATGTTTGAAGTGGTTTAAGAAGATTGCCCACAAAACATAGTTCTTTAAAATATTCAGGCTTTTAATCACCTGCAGTTAATGGATGCTACAATTCTGTAATGGGATATCACAGAGTGAGAATCTTGGATTTCAACTGAAATGGAACTAGAGCACAAAAAGAACTTGATAAGCAGTGAATATAAGACCTATTGAGTAAATCAGAAAAATGTCTCTATGTATCCAGTGCAGTCCTCATATGCTGCTGCGTTTGTAAAATACCAAGAGACCTGATTTGGGGACAACCTGTGACAAATACACAATTATTGAACAGAGGCTATCTTTACTTGCCTACTTATGCTGTCTAGGGTACCTATGGGTGCCCTCACTAATCATGAGATGTCTATTCTAGTCTGTTAACCTGCCCAAAAGGTGGAGATCCGTATGTCCATGCCTTCAGATATGTTATATATTATTATATACTCGATGTTTTATTATGGATGCTAAGTCTGTTTTACTTGAGAACAATGAAAAATACCTTTTTACATTAACAGAATCAGTGTTACGTCTTGCATGAAGCAGTGTACAATAAAGCTTACAATTTTAGCCAAAAGAGATTGTATCTGACACTTTTTGAGATTCCAAAAGATGTTCATTGCATTGCTGACAAGCTTGATAGAAAAACAATTGCCATTTTGCATTTATTTTCCACTGAAATTAGGTCATTATTCCTTTAACATCCCTATCAGAATCCTGAGTGAAAGACAAATCATCAATTAAGTATGACTTTAAAAAAAGTGACCTGAAAAATCTTTCCATTCTAAGTAAAAATATAGGAAATTAAGGATGTAAGAGAAAATGTTATTCTAATAAATGTCAGTGTTAATAGAAATGCTTGTTGTGTAACTGTTTTCTTTCCCTGTGTAACACAACCCGTTTTGCCAGAAGTGTAGTATTTATATGACATCTTTAATAGAAAAAAGGCGCTTCTGCTGACAGCTGCTTATTGCTTTTTTGGTTAGTGTAAATTTAACAAAAATCTGTAGTTTTATGAAGCTAACACAGCGGCAGCAGATGGACGACAGCTGAAGCACCAGCCAAATGTAAAGGAATTATAGCAGGAGTAGAGAGGTCTGAATTTTGCCTGCTTAAGATTACAAGCTACTTATAGTTTATATACTGACACAAATAGCTCTAGCTGCACAATGTTGCCATAGAAACTTGTAGACCAGTAAAATATTCCTCCAGCTTTCCACCAATGGAGGGACAGGAATACAAAGCTTGGTATGGTAATGAGAGCCACCAGGGGATGATGAATATGAATTGATTGAGGGTGCGGGTTAAGTAAGACCTTAACAAGCCTTTAGGAGTGAAGAATGGTTGTGACTTCCCTAGTTAATACACTGGTATACTTAATTCTCTAAGATCTCCCACATTTGTTGACAGGAAAATATTTCACTGAAACATTTCCTTTTTTTTTCCTAGGGATTACACTGTCAGACATCTTTTGCATGTTTTTATTAATGTTTTGTACTGTTTTTATATACTGGGGTCTTTGGGGGAGAGGGGTACAATACAAAATAACACAGACTGGCTTCAGACCACACAAAACTGTACTTTATGAACCCAGTTAAGTAGAATTAGCTCATTTAAACTGATTTTAGTGTTTGCACCATTTAATAATACCTGTTAAAGACTGCAAAATGAGCTGCTGTAATTCTCAGTCCAGGTCTCGAAATCTGCTTCTAGTTCACTCATTTACTAATTGCGTATGCAGGCATTTTGTTCTGGTCAAGGACAGAGTCTAATTTTTCTCATGGTTGTTGCTGATTGTTTTGGAAAATATGACATCTCCATCAATACAGAAACTTAAAATTTGCTGGAATTTCAGTTAAAAAACCCAACTAAACAACAAAAGCCAACAAACCAAACCAAACCAAACGAAACAAAAACCTTCTATGTCTTTTCCAGCAATAGTTTTCATGGTGTTCTATAGCCTTTACAAGATACATTAGTACATATGCCATCTAACTCATACCACAAGAACAAGTCCATCTGTTTAAACATACTAATTTTGTCACACTAACTGTTATATGTTGGGGTTTTACTATTTAAAATGTTAAAACAATGCACAAGTTGTGTTTGGGTTTTTTTTTATATACATAGTAGTGTGTAGACATTACCTCTCCCACAATATATTGAAGACCAAAGAAAATATACTATATAATCCATACTACTGCAGTTCATCTTTTTCTAAACAGTTGCAGCAACTATCTGTATGCTGCTCTTTAAGATGCAGGCTAGACTGACTGAAAGAATAAAAAATGAGACATCTGCAGTAACTTAGCAAGTCAATAAGATGGAACTCAAAGTTTGTGCTTCTAGGACAAGATAAATGCTGCGTTTATCACACGCTATGTCCAAATAAGCCGTCAAATATGGAAATCAAACAGATTGTGTACTTAATATCTCATTTTTCAATTTTTATCAAAATATTGTTTTGATTATATTTGCTTGTGTTACCTTGCTGTAGCTTGATCATTCACCTCAGTCTTGGATTTCGGAGGGGTCACCTGTTCTGATGAAAAGGCATACCTGCAATAGGAATGGTGGAAATATATTCAAGGCAGAAGGTATTTGGAAACATATTATAGCATTCAAGTGACTTATCATTGTAGATATTCTATTTCTTATATTTGTAACCACAATGACTTTGGATTTTCTTTGAGAAACATGTCTGTTGTTTTCTTTAAATATAAGAAAGTTTGGGCTGTTCAGCCTGGAGAAGAGAAGGCTGCATGGAGGCAGCCTTCCAGTATTTGAATGGGGCCTATAAGGATGCTGGAGAGAGACTCTTCATCAGGGACTGTAGGGATAGGACAAAGGGGAATGGGTTCAAACTAAAACAGGGGAAGTTCAGGTTAGATATAAGGAAGAAGTTTGTTACTGTGAGGGTGATGAGGCACTGGAACATGTTGCCCGAAGAAGTGATAAATGCCCCATCCCTGGCAGTGCTCAAGGCCAGGCTGGACAGAGCCTTGGGTGATATGGTTCAGGGTGAGGTATCTCTGCCCACGGCATGGGGGTTGGAACTAGATGATCTTAAGGTCCTTTCCGACACAAACTATTATATGATTCTATGATTCTATAACATATAAATTTCTATAACATATATATAAGGAATGATATATGTATATAAAGAATATATATATATATATATATATATATATATAAGGACCTAAGTAATGCTTTTGGGCAGTTGATTGCTCCATTCACTGAGCTTTTTGAAAAATTAGTATTCCAAGACTAACTGTTTTGCTAGTGTGGATGTAATGAAGCGGAGTTTCTTTGCTGGTTCAAAATTATTTTGCTAATAAAGGAACTTTAAAATACTTTTCTACTAAGTAGACTTTACTTATTCAGTAAAGACTAACAATTTACTTACTTAGCAAAGTATTTCTATTTTTTTAGAAACTAAATAACTAACCAACTTCATTTTCCCACTTTAACTTGTTTGTGTAATCAGTCAGATCAGTCACTACAGGAATACTAGAATTATAAGAGATTGCAAGAATTTTAAAAAGGTGGCCAATAGAATTGGAAAGGAGAGTTACACACTGCTTTAGAGAATTTTTTTACTCGGATGGCCACTAAAGTATGAGAAATTGTGTAGCTGCCTTAATTATAAGTAATGAAATTACAGGTTGGTTAAATAATCTTTTCCTAATTTAGACCATCTGAAATGCATATTTAATTAATAAATTAATTTAATAAATCTATTTTCTAAAATTAGAGCAATCTTTGCAGACACTCAAGTAAGTTTAGAGTACTTTATGTCAATTCATCTTATGCCAATGCGTTCTATTACAAGTCTTTGCATGTGCAGAGATTTTTAATTTACCACTTTCTTTTTCTCCACATTCCTCACACTCTGTTTTTTACTCTCTGTTTAGAGCATAGTTCAATATAAAGGGACATTTGCATTAGCAACATATATAACTGTGGAACTAAACTTGTGAAGCAGTTTTTAATTTTTAATGCAGTTACAGTTGATTTTTCAGTTTGAATAAATACCCAGTGTTCTAAGCTATGTGAAAATAATTACATTTCTGCAAGAGAGGCAGTCTTAATACAATTCTGAGGTACTAACTATAGAGGAACCCTCCCAGGTAAATTATTCAGTCTTTGTATTATAAATGGTAATCAAGGTTTGTGCATGTGAGTGTGTTGCATTTATAAATTTACTAAGAAGCAAAGTAAGCAAGACATACGTTGTTGGAGCCTCCGAATTTTCTGAAGTGGTCCTAGAGAAAGAAAAGTGTAAACAGTTCAGAAACCAAGTAGCAAAATGCTAGTACTGAAACACTTCTTTGCAAGATTTTAGATTAATCAACAGCAATTAATTTTACTTTTTTGTCCTTCGAGGTGGGATTTTTCTTTGTTTCTTAACATGGAACATAACACTTTCAACTCAAGTAGCATAATACTCAATAATATTCTTTGTATGTTATTAAGACAATCGTTCTTCAATTAACATTCTCCAGTCATTCACTCTGGTCAATGGTGGGTTTCTTTCAGCACACAATTCACAGCCAAAAAACTCAGTTACAGTGAGATGCTTATATTTTCACTTTCAATTGCAGTTTAAGTGCTCTGTAAAGCTTGCTTAATCAGCTTGGAAATGAGGCAAAACACTTTAAAAGTTTACATGATATGCTTCACTATAGAAGGCTAGGTATCAGAGTCAGAAAAGATAAGTAAATATAAATGCTGACCAATCCTCTCTCCCCTGAACCTATGATTGTTGAACTCCCTTCCTGAGGATGGCAGAACAATCAACCGTTATCATATTTCAAGAACAGACACAGCTCTTTGGTACACCTGTCTTTAAGACTGATAGTGACCTTTAAAAACTGGTTATTAGCAGCTATGCATCTTTGTTTCCTGAATCTCACTGGTGAGTAAAAAGCTAACAATTATTAGTTATAGTAATATTCACATGTTCAAAGCACTTTACAAAGATAAGCAAAGAAATCTTCTAATGTTCATCTCTGTTTAACCAACTGTGCTTGGTGACATCATTGCTAGATGACCCAGGAAGGGCCATGAAATCTTTGGAATGAATATGCCTGTCTTTCAGTCTTCTCTGAATTGAGAGTAGAGGAGGAACTGGCACTTCATATACTCAGCCATCAGTCAATGCTAGACATCAAGCTGATAAGAGCCCATGCCATCTTACTTATCAAACTCAGTCCCTCAATAATTGCCCTGTTGGCTCACTCCCCAGATCAGCTTTAGCCAAGAATTAGGAAATAACTAGCAATCATGAGTACTTACCTTTTGGTTTCCAATGTTTCTGTTGGGGTTTTACTACTTGAAACTGGAGGAGGCAGCCAAGATTGCCTGTCAGTGTTAAGAATTTTTTTTTTTTAGTATTAATTTAATGCTATGGGGCTGAACAGCATCCTATGAATGTTAGAATGTCAAAAGTGACTTAGAAATACCTGGAACTTTTCTTAAATTATTAGTATTCTGAAATTCTGAATGCAGATACTTCTTAGACCACTTTATTGGTTTGTTTTGTTGTGGGTTTTTTTGGTTTTGTTTTTTCCTCAGACAACTGAGTGGAATTGGAAATAATATAGTAATTTTAATTATTTTTGTGAAAAAATGTTTTCTCTGACTCTAGGTTGTCTTACCTGCAATCTGAATGGTACAAATAAACGGATCATTCATGTGAAGGACAAACAGACAGAATGCACAAAGGGAAGAGTGTCAAGTATCAACCCAAGAAACGCATTCAGGCTGGTATTAGAGGTCACATAAACATTACAAGCACTTTCACTTTTTTTTTTAATCAAAACTATTAATCCAGCAACTATCTGTGAGTGAAAAGCAATTGCACCATAAACACTGCAATTCAGTGATGGGTTTTCATATCTTCAAAGAGCCTGAAGAGTACTACGGGGCTGAAAACACCATAAACTTCCACCAAACAAGCAAAGCTGTTAATGTGAAAATTATGATATTTTAATTTCTGCTTCCAGACTTCTACCAATCACTATTTTTATACATGAAGTATGGAAAAGAAAATCACAAAAAAGACAGAATTTATGCTTGGGAAGGACATATAAAAATATAGCCACTGTCAGCAATACATTTTAAATCAAAAAAAGTAGTTCTTTCTTTCTTCTAAACCCTGTTTTTTTTCTTGCCCAAAGAAATCCAGACTTTTAAAGCCAGCTGTTCATCATACAGAAAACCATGTGGTTCATATGTGCTCAAACAGCACAGGTTTAAGTTTGGCATCAGAGATTTTGCAATTACAGTGAGCTAGAATGCTTTAAATTTAGACACTGAAAAGACATATGGTAACTGAGTTAGGGGCTGCAGCAAAGTGACAGCATCTGTTGTGCTATGGTCCACCAGGCTCACAAAACTGGCTCTACAGAGGTTAACTTTCAGCACAGTACACCCATGGAAAAAGCCAGAGCATGTAAAAGTTTAATTCTAGAAGCTTGCTGAGGAGTTAGAGCATGCTAGAGGAGAAAGTTGGTAATGCTCTTTTTATGTCATTGTGACATGCTACTGAGGTTTCATAGAGTGCTATATATTCTCTGGCAACCAAGCAATGGTGGTAACAAATACCTTTTTTTCTTGATTGGAGAAGTTGCAGCAGTGTTTGTGGGTGCTGCATTAGGAGTCCAAGATTGTCTGTTAAGGAAATATAATTAATTCTTAAATAATTGTATCATTGTGAATGAAAAAAAAAGTCAAAAAGTTATTGTCTTGTCCTGTGCAATTCTTAATGTAATGGGAGTAACAGAAGAACAGAGCTTTACAAACTATTTTATTGCTCTTTGGCAGGAAAAAAAATGTACTACTTAACTCTCTCTGAAGTCCCACTTCAGAGTTCATGGTAGGTCTATTAAAAAAATCATCTCTAGACAAAATAAGATAAAATCCAATTTATATGATGTTTCATGTGTCATCATCACCATGATTTACAACATAATGGTGTAAAATCGTAATTTAAAAGAATGATCTCACTTGAACTTTAAATGCCAGGGATACTCATTTGCTCTTCAGAGTAATATTTCAGCACTTCACAAGATGACATTTAATTGCTGTGCTCAGCCATCACTGGCATCTATATTCATTGTAATTTATTATTGATGGAACAGTACTGACAGTGATATATTTGTCCCTTTACATTTATAAGTATAGTGGCTGAGCTCCTCTGACTTCCATTTTTTAAATAAAAATTTCAATCAGGTAAGAACTGTAAATCCTTAAGAAAGTAAATCTTTAGTGCTGTGTAGTCAGATATAGAAAGTGTTCATCTCTGCATCACAATAACTTATTTTAATAACATGTAAAAAAATTTGTGCCAGGTTACTTTAAATTAAAACTTGGTTTCACCTTGTTTTAAACAAAAGACTGACCTTCTGACAGAAGAAAAGCCTTCCACTGGAAAATTCAGTTACCCTGTCTATCAAAAAAGCATTTATTGTTTTTTGTTACTCAGGTTTTCTATTGGCAATGTTCAATGTTTTTTTCAACTGGAAACATTAATTGCAATTCTTTTGTGTAGTCTTTCCTCAGCAGTACCTGTTGTGTTTGGTAGAATTCATGCAGAGAAATGTAGAGCTCAAGAACATGCCCACACTGAACTGTTTTCAAAACCCTATTACTCATTCTGGTTTTGTATCTAAAACACTGTGTTTCTTCAATAATTGCTTTTCTGAGTGAATGTGTAATCTGAGGTAGTCTCTTTCTTAATCTATGTGGAGAAATGGGCATTTTAAAGGTAAGTTCTTCTTCTAAAGAAAATATCTGAGAGACATCAGATGAATTGTCCTTCAAAAGACCCTTTTTCTCCTCATTGGCTACAAAAAGGGTCTATGATAACATAGACATAGAAGTCAGCATTTCAGATGTCAGGTGTTGGAATTAAGCCTACTATTTGGCCATAAGGAATACAAATAATGTCTCTATATATTCTTGGCATGTCCACATAATCAAAAATTATGATATTTTATAATACTTATGTGATAATGCATGATAAATGAGCCATAATCATTTATAATACATAATACATAGACAATTACGTTTCCAAAAATCATACCTGTTGCTTTCCTTATTATTCAGAGTTGGGGACTTATTTATTTTATCAGTGTCACTTTTGTCTGGAATTCTGTCAGAAACAGAGAAATTATTTATAATACACACTCTAGATATGAAAAAAAAACCCAACCAAAACCCCACTTCCAGTAATGTTAAATGATGGAGATTTTTTTTGCCCACTGCACAGATTAAAAGTTCCCCAGTACCAAAAAAAGACTAGAACAGATTCTGAATTATTATAAATTTAGTTCATTAATAACTGAAGAGCTTAAGTAGCTCACTGAAAAAAACCTGTTTTAAAAGGTTATGTTCAAACACTAATTGATATACTGTATCAAGCCTCCTTGTTGTTAACAGTTTATTGCAACTCCTTTGAATTAGACCAGAATATGAAGAAGAAAGCAATGTTCCGTCAAGCAGCACAAAGTATTCCCTTCCTCTCTCCCTCACCATCCCTAGAGAGATACAACAGTCTCATTTTCTTTACAGCTTTTAGAGATCAATGTTCTTCGGCAATAGTCTGGTGTAAAATCCCCAACAAAGCATGGTAGTGACCTAGAGCAATAACATCTAGCAAGAAGTAAGATTATTTGTGCTTGAATTGCTTTCATTAAGCCATGAAATTTACTCTTATAAACTACCACACGATTTCTCAAGCCCTTGATGGATTCTACAGCTGTTGTGTAAACCCCAAATTTTCACAGAAAGCACCATGTAGCTACCATAGCTGAAACAGCTTAAGCACTTATTTTATTTCAACTTTGTTCTCTTCTATAGAATACGCTTTAATAAGATCAGTGGGACTCTTTAAAGCTCAAATATAAAGTGATGTACATTGAAATAGATTAGGTTATGTTAAATATTTGGTTAAAACAACTGATTTATATACAGAAATTTAAATAAGTTTACAATTTATTTACATATAGAAATTACTTAATTTTGGTTATCTCCATCTATAAACTGAAGCTATAGATACAAAATAATTAATCCCAGAACTCTAACATTTTGCATCCTGCCCTCATCCAAGTACCACAGAAGACTGTTGTATTTAATGGAAATCCTTCAACGGAGCTCTGGGACACAATTTGTACCAGCTTATGCTCTGTGCCTTTTTCAAACCTAATTTTAATTGGACAAATAACTATCACGTCACGGGCAGCTTGTGGCTGCGGCCAGCAGTTACAGTTACTCGAAAGATCACTAGAGGTCCCACTAAACTTGCTATAGCATTGCTGCAGATGCAAACGTGAGTGTTAGTTCTTAATTCACGGGTAACCAATGAACCACCATGTCTTTCATGCTTAATTTTGTATTTTCAGAATTTCAGCACAGTGCTTCAAGCAGTTCTGTATTTGCTCATTTTAAAGACTTGAAGGGTCCATCTGGCTTCCTACTCCAGTGCTGCTTAATTGTAACAGAGGCTTTGAAAAAAGTGAAAGAAGAAATATAATTTTAACTTCTCCTTTTCAGCTTCTGATAAGCAGTGGTTGAAGAATATCCTCTGCTTGCACTCAGAATGCTGTTTCCAGGCACCTTTGGATCACTGATCCATTCCCTCATCTAATGTTTTCATGAACCAATTTAAATTTCTGGCATCCACAAGATCCGGTGGTGTTGACTCCTACAATTAAACTACGTATTTAGGGAAAAACAAATGCTCTGCTTTCTTTCTTTTCCTGTTTTGTTTTGGTTTTTTTTTTTTGTTTTTATTTTTACTTAAACATTTTATAGAGTATCTCCTCATTCTCACAGTGCAGCAAACAGAAAATATCTCCTCCTTACTCACTATGTCACTCTTTCCCAAGTTAAGGAAACTTTGTCTCTTCAGACATTCCATATATGAAAGATATTCCATCCCAGTCATCACTGTTTTTCACTTTCCTCTTAACTGTTTTTTTCTGATTCTGTTGTAGTTTCTCCACATAAGTGAAAGGCTGCATGCAGTGTTCAAGATGTGCAAAATGGGTTCATACCATGACTGAACAGTGGTTTCAAAGGGTTAGATTATTAATAAAGAAGAGAATGAAAGTGTCTCATTTGCTTCAGTCCCATCTCTTCAGATTTAATTGCTGTAAGTGCAGTTAGGATTTATTCTTCCTGGAAGCTATTCTGGACTCGGTAGTACTTGGAAAAATAGTAATGAAATTTTCATTGTCACTATAGTATTTTAATATTTCTCCCATCTTTTGTCAAATGCTTAGTTGTTAATAGTATGAGAGAAATAAAAGCATAAATAAGACTGTTCCTCCCATCCAGAAGGCTACCTGAGATTATCTATAAAATGCAATTGTTGTCTGAGTTGTGATGTATAGATCTGCATGCCAGTACAAGCATATGTGTACCTACTGTCATTAAGCTATGGAGTTCTGCTAGTAACTTAACAGCTCTTGGTATTTTCTTGTGCTTGCAGCCAGTGATGCAATTGCATGTAGTCACCTGCAATATATCTCCCAGGTCCTTAATACTGAAAGTTATGTTTAAATTTTGTAGATACTGGGTTAAGAAAAATTCATATCAAACAATGCTATTTTTGAACATTGATACGGCAGTCTCCAGGACTCAGAAAACTGTACTTAATATAGCTCCTAGATATGTTTTCACTGTCACATTTACACACGCAATGAACTCAGAATTACTCCTATAGTCCTTAAATTACTTTCTTTTAATTAGGATTTCAATGACCATTCTGTCATTGTGAAAACTAGCTATTGAAGAGACATTCATCCAGATAGAGATCCAGATTCTTTAAATCCTTGTCTTTTGGAATATTACAGTCATGGCCAGAAGAGATGAAGAGCAGAATTGTGGAAAGATATTCCAATATCTACCTTGCAAGCAGGTAACTCCTAAAGGCCTTCTCCTAAAGTACAGAAGACTTAACATTTTACAGCATCTTCTATGATTCTATGATCTTAGATAGACAAAATAATTTTCGATACAGACAACATGACTTACAATTCTATAAACAGCTCTAAAAGATCTCCAGTTCCAAGGTAATTTTTCCTCAGGAACTGTCTACTAAGAGCAGTCCTTTAGACTCTTTCACAACTCTTTTTTCAACTCTTTAGTTTTGAACACACAGGCAACTAAACAACCAAGTCCTGCAAAGTTCATGCAAGCTTGGAGACTTCTGTACCATGGTAATGATTGCCAGAAATAATTTTTAAGAAAATAAGAGAATTGTGCCAAAGGGAAAACATCCTTCATAGAAGAAGCAAAAGTACTAAATTGGACTGCAGGGTACAAAAAGGTGTTAAAAGATAATACATCACCACACCTTGTAATGCATTAGGCTGCAAGTTTGAGGAGATGCATCCATTACAGAAATGCCTGCTGGCAATGGGTGTGTACAAATTAATCCTGGAATGGTTATATTTCACAGTTTTGAGAAGACCAGTAATGAGTAAGGAAAAATAAACTTCCTTATTGTGAACATTTCAGGTAAAACCATCATTATTCACTCAATTTATGGACATATTCTGCATTAGTTATCAGAAGTGTATATTCACACCTATAATCCTCTTTGTATTCTGTCATCTTTTGCACATTAAGAACCCTTTATGTTAGATATTTGTGTATGTGAAAACAAAGACCATCAGCTTACAACCTAAAATAATTCAGACGTCTTACTATCTTGGCATAAAGCAGAAAGACATAGATAGGTACAAAAGGACAATGTGGTTCAGTGATACTGTAGAAATTGGAATTGTTCTATGACTTCTTAATTAGTAATCAAGGTTTCTATGTATGAAAATCAAGCCTTAAAAATATATTTGAAGTCAATGAAAATAAGGTAAGAGTGATATAGCTGACATACTCTACTTGAATTTCCAAAAACTTCATAGAAATTTGCTTTAGGGGCTCTTCAACAGAGTGATCTCCTATGTGGTAATAGAGAGGGTCCTTTCAAGGATAAGTGACTGCTTCAAAAGTAGGAAACAAAGGTTTAAGGTAAATGACATTTTTTGAGAGCGGAAGGAGTGATCTGTGTAAGACTTGTGTTTTTCATATGTTCATAAATTATCTAGATGAGAAGGGGATGTTGCTTGCCAGTGACACTGACTCATGGTAGTCAAACCAAATGCAGACTGGCAAGGTTTTCAGAAGTCATCTGCTAACATGTCAGATTACTAAAATGGAAGATAGCATTCACTTTTCTTAGACGCAAAGTAATGCCTGCCAAGAAAAGCAGTTGATCTCTGAATCAGCTATTATCATTCAAGAAAGAGGCCTTGAAATTATATAGATAATATTATAAAAATGAAAGATAATTCTCAGCATCACCCAAAAGAGCAAATTCAGTGTTATGAAGTATGAGGGAAGGAGCAGCAAATTGACCAGAAGCCATTGTACATATACAAGGTGTGTGCCTATCTTAAATACCTGCATGGAAATTTGGAGCCCCAGATCAAAAACACTAATATGGAAATAACAAGATACAAAGAAGGCCAGTAGGTAAATTGAAGTTAGGATGTTTTCCTCCTGATGAGTGAACAAATGCAGCAGGATTCAGCCTATAGAAGAATCAACAGAGGGGTGATATCACACAGCTTCATAGCCTATTCTGTTCCAGGCTTCTATGGAGAAGGTAAATTTTACATAACAGTTTTTCATTGTTTCTTACAGCAGAAGTAAAGATCATCAAACAAAATAACACAGTGATATGATCCAACTAAACAAGTGCACTTTTTTCACAGTGTGTACTTAAGTGCTGTTACTCATGGCCTCTGCATGTTGTGGACACTGGATGTTAATGTAGGCTGAATTTTGAAGATGCAATGCAGAAAGAATCTGCAAACACAAGCATGGTCATGTCTTAACAGAGGTCAAGGCTGAAGAGGACATTCAAATTAAGCGCCTGTATGTTAAGCATATTTGATATTTGTACTGATCATGGTATGAAGCGCCAGTAAGGATTTGCAAAGAGCTAGAGGTTTAGCTGTGTTGTGCTTAACTATCAGAGAAAGGACTGTGATATACAGTTTGAAAGCAGGAAACTGGATGAGCAGTTTTCATCTGTGCGGAGATACTTTTATGAGGACAAGAATGCACAGAAACTGACAGAGAAGAAGAGCTATATATCAAAAGAACCTTTTCTCTAATCACATTTCCATTTGTCTCATTGGCAATTCATGAAGAAAAATCATAGTCTTCTACTTAGGTGCTTAATAAATAATGAAATTTTAAAACCCCACTGATTTCATTCATGCTTTCATTTTTAAGACCTCTGCACAGGTATGAGAATAACAAAATACAATATATACAGAAAAGATCCCTACCTGTCGAGGGTAGTATCGGACCTGTAACGTCCAAGTACAGGTTTCTGATCTTCCTTTTCACTTGTGGCACTGCTATAAATAAGATTAGAAATGCCACTTTGGTTACTGTTTTTATTAAACAAGTCATCACCAAAAAATAAGAATATACAGGTCTCAAGATACACATTATTTCAGACCATCAGGTGTCAACACATCCAACCCTGCATGAATTGCAATGATCAACCTAACAGTTATTGACTTTGGAGTCAGATTTACAGGGGAAAGATGCATAGACTAAAATTGAACAAAGCAAGTTCTTGCTAGAAACAGGATATAGTAAAAGGACACTCAGTTTTCTTTGACAATATCATTAGAAATTCTGTATTCTATGCTGTACCTGTGTAGGCTATCTTGAGATTTGTATTGGTTAAGCACAGCTCTTCCATAGTTTTCATCAGCACTTCAAGGAAAAGAAAGACAGTAGTTAATTAAAATTTGAATATCAAAATAGAAAATTGTTTCTTGGCAAAACATTTCTGTCCTCAATCATATTTCACAGCTTTCTGCTACTACTATAATCACACCAGCTACATATCTCTGCATTAGATGATTCCAGACATTCTGGAGTAAGAATAATCTCTTCCTACATGCTGTTCATGTGCCGAATAATGAAAGCCTACTCTCATGGTGGAGTTTTTACTGTAATGGAAGTCCTAGTTTGTATTAGAGTGAATTTCAACTGATCCTGGTTTAAGCTCCTTAAAAGAACTTGTCAAGATTTATAATCTTCATGCTTGTAAAAGGAAAATATTAGATATTAGTCCTGCAACCTAAATATATGAAGTGTGGGATTTTTCTTGTAGAGCAGAAGCCTTTCATTAAATGATCAGCACTCAAAAGTCCCAATGAAAAACATAGTGAAAATCCAGCAAACTACTTCCAAAAGGCAATCAATACCTCATCAGGAAAAGCAAATGCTAGCTATTTGACTAAGTTAATGTAATTCCTGTTGATACCATTCATGAAAAAGTAGACACTCCAAGAAAATGTACATGGCATACTGAACTAAATACACAAGAAATATATTTCATATTTTTCTTACTTTTCCTCTTCAGGCCTCTTCTTTATCCAGCTATTATCTTGCAAAAGGGTCCGTCGTTTGTTACTGTCATGAGTAGCCTGTTGTCTGCTTTTAATTGCAACAGAGGGGCTCTTATTATCTGCAAATGCAGAGAAACATGTCTTGAAAAGGAACATATAGAATAACTTTGGAAACTTAATGTACTATTAGAAAGGCTGAAATATGTAAATGTTTCTCAGCGTTTGACTCTTCAGCTGTCATTCCTGTTTAGTGCACACAATTTGCTTTGAAAGTTTGTGGTTTAGTCACTTCAAACTTCAAGGCACTGCAGAAGCCCAATTTACAAGACTAAATTCAGTTTCATCCTTAATATGAAACAGCTTCATATACTTTTAATGTAAACAAATATCACAAATCTGATAAATTGATTATGAAACACACAGAGAAAAATAATTCCAGGAAAGTCAAACTAATGAATACTATTTCCTGAGGCAGTGTTTGTGGGTTTTGAATTTGCAGACGTGTGACAGGATGCAAATTTCAAAGCAAAGCTAATCTGGAGATGATCACATGGTCCTCCACCGACACCCACAGCCCAGTGTGTGTGTATTTTCAGGTTTCTTAGAAGGGTCATGCTCCTTCTGAAGCTTTTTCCTCAGTGCCTGAATGAACAGTTCATTTTCTAACCAGCTACCTAGTTTTACTAAACTTTTAATAAAAAGCAATACATGTAAGACCTATAACCTTATGTCAAATTTAACTAAAATGGGTGTATGGCTTCACCTTATTGGGAGGAACTCCCATATACACTTATACACTGTGTGAAAATGGAAGACTCATTTACTTTTGAAAGCAACCTAAAATATCTTTGTCCAACAATGCTGATATTTAGTATGTTAAGTAAGTATCAGTACAATGTTCATTTTATTTGTGAGAATATAACTTCCTCACTGTATTAGAAAGTTAACATTTATCTCAACATCAGTGACTATTATCTAATATCCTCAGTTTGTTTTCTTCTCACCTAAGTTTCATATCATCAGCCTATTTGAAGTGAGGGGGAATATTGTTAGAACCATAGAATAGAGTTGGAAAGGACCTTAAGATCATCACGTTCCAATCCCCCTGCCATGGGCAGGGACATCACACACTAAACCATGTCAACCAAGACTCTGTTCAAGCTGGCCTTGAACACTGCCAGGGATGGAGCATTAACAACTTCCTTGGCCAACCTGTTCCAGTGCCTCACTACCCTCACAGTAAAGAACTTCTTCCTTGATGTGATGTTTTAACTTTCCCCTTTAAAATGGAAGACTAGAAATTGAGCCCAAACAGAAAATCTGTCTTTGGATTATGATATTTGCCCCAAACCTTCCCAGAGAAAAGAACTTGAAAAACTAAATATGCAAAACTTTTGTCAATAGAATCCAATTAATCAACTAACTGACTGATGAAGAATACTGAGTTTCTTGGATTTTCCTTTGGAGACCTCTGTGATTTTCTGCAAGAATTCATCACTCCTTGACTGTTCACACAAAAAGAGTTTAACACCATCAGATTTTAGGAGATATCACAATCTGGTGTTCAGTAAGGACACTTGACCATTAAGATTGTGTATAGAAAGACCACACAGAAAACACATTCAGTCAGTATTAGATCATTTGTCATAGCTGTGTTGCTGCTGTAATTTATAAGAAAATGTAGCTCTTGCTTTAATATAAGAACTTCAGCTGTAGTACTAACATGAAAAGATTACAAATAGCTACAGTGAGTGGAAGACCAAATTATAATGAAGCATAAAAAAAAAAATCATTTTGACTGACAATGGCCAAGACTGATTTTTTTAAATACATTTTTCTCCTGAAAGCAAAACTCTGCAGTGCAAAGATAAAATTCAGTCTAAATGTATACCTCACTGTAACCCAAACATTGTCTGCTCTTATCTCTTGCAATTCATTGTAGATACATCTATACTGACACTGACAAGAAGGACAGTGATCAAACTAAAGGATTGGACTCCTCATTCATGTTTGTGCAGCTGCAAATGTTCTCTGGCTCTTCTTGTGTTAGACTGAGCTGCTAGAGAAATGACAAACATTAAGAAGCATGGCTGTGATAGCATGGATGTGTGTTTCTGTCTCTTGGCCCTGATGCCGATGTTCGGCTTTCTTTTATGATTTGTAAGAATGTGCTGATAATCATGATAGATTGAGAACAAAAAGTCATCTATCCTTACTGCATGATTTCTGCATCAGCCTGTTCCCTGACAATTGACCTAGCTTTTCTCTTAAAAATATTTATTAAAATCTGACTTTAAAGACTTCAAAAAATGAAGACATCCCAGCCTCACTTGAATAGCTCCAGTGGCTCATTAAAATATCTATCTACATAAGCAAACTGAAAAGAAGGACCTCCACTGATTTAAACAATAGCATTGTTTTATAGTCACTGTCAAGAACTGAGATAACTGTAACTAGCAAACAAGACTAATTTAAGTGCATTTGCTCTAAATATTTACTGGTTTGAATATAATGATAATACTAGCAGTGTCGGGATATAACAGGAACTTGATGTATTAATAGAAAGAAAACCACCAACTTTGTAACATTCAGTAATCAAGGATTTGAATGAAAATCTAATATTAAAACCTGTACCTTCCTATTCTCATAAATATTTAGGTATTTTATGCTTGGTACAATCATTTGCATTGAAAATAATAATAAAAAAAGTTAATTTTGGAAAGTAGGAAAAAATGTGAGTTCAAGCATATGCATTCCAGAGATAAAACTTCTCTATGGTGAGGACAGCTGAGGGCAGCTAAAGTGGTGGAAATTATTCCAGCATTCCTTTCAAACTAGCTGTTTTAGCCAGATGCTTTCTACTGTCCATAATACATTTTAATCTGTGCTCTATTGTCAGGCTTAACCTCCTCTGAGTCTTCAAGAAAATTTCTTCAATGACACAAACATAATAGAAGAATTTCTATATAATCAAGAAGTACTCAGTATATATCTAACTATTACAATTAAACTTGCATGTACAATATTGGCTGTTTTCCAATAACATTTTAGGAAAACTATTATCTCTTACCCAAAAAAATCACTTGGATTTCAGAGAAATTATGGCTTTCTTAATTACTTAGTGCAATTAGGAAAATCTCCTATAAAGGCAGCAGCCAAGGAATATATATTGCATTTTATTTTCAAGAAACATCAGAAGCAATTTGCTAATGCATGAGGCTTTGGGTTTGTTGAAGAGTACTAATTTTCGGTCTAATGAATTGCCTCCCAAGTTTCAATTAAAAAACTAAATATAGATCTGATATAACAGTTCAGGTCACATGAGCAGAGGCAGATGGAGCTTATCCCCTTCTTATCTTGACAATAAGAAGTTTATGTCCTTAGCATTGTAGAGCCAAGCTACTTCCCACAGTGGCTGCATGCATTTTCCTGTACTTAGGTTTGGCATATCCCACCCAAACCATGTCCTCATGTACCTCAAAACCTTTCAGTCTTTAGAAGTGTTTTGCAGGTTCCAGGGAAATGGAAAATTTCATCGGGTTTCCAGTTTGTTTCTTGATATTTCTCTGTATAGAAGCAAACTCCAGCCCTCCTCGAGTTTCGTCCCTCAAAAGGAGCAAACAATCCTATCTGACAATGATTAAATCACATTTTTCTTCCCTTCTCCTATTCTAATTTTCGTCGATTTCTTCTCATTTTCCCCAAGTGAGACAATGGGACGATGCCAAGACCATCTGTTTGCTGCCTTCCAAGCTGCCATGCTCCTGTGGGATCTCCAAAGCAACCACAGGGCTCAGTGGAGGGAACCACTGTCTTGCACCACACTGGTTCCCCTGCTCCAGCACACTACCCTGCCCAGCATGGTGGTTTAGCCTGATTCTCTGCAGTGAAACCTTACAAACACCACTGCTAGCTTTGTGGTTGAAGCAGGTCCTGGTGTGAATCGAATAACCAGCCCATCACAGCTTAACAGTGTTGGTATGTCCTGTGAAGGAGCTGCACGATGAGCATGGCAATGCTTGGAAAGGAGAGGCTATGCCTCAATCTGTAAGTACCCTAAGAGCAGAAAATAAAGAAGACTCAGTATTACCGCTTTTGTGAGGAGCCTGTTTTCGTATGCTGAAAGCTGACATTTTTTTCAGCAGGGTGTCGTTCTGTGGGAATCTAAAAGAAAACATGAAAAACAAACAAACAACAGCAATAACAACAACAAAAGAAGAGTTGGCAGTGAGATTAGGAATCATCCCCAAAGACACTTTAAATTCATTTGCCACCTCGTGCAAGTTTAGTCTAATAGCTGCTGACCTCTTTGAACTAAAGCTCAGGCACAGAAGTGGCCTTTCTTTCCCTGGTGATGACTATGTGTATCCCTGCCCTGTGTTTCTGCCTGTCACACTGCCTCTCCCTCCTTTTCCTTGTTAGGAGCTCCTTGTCTGAGAACATGTGCGGTGGTAATAGCATTTGGAAGGCAAGACAAAGTAATGAAGATTGGGGTGAGTTGATTAGCTTCATGGGAAGATGTTATCAGCTTGTGGCTCAGAGCACTGCCTCAAGCTAACATGGGCTCACCCAGCCCCGCTGACAGGTCTCACAGCTTCCATGGCCTGCAGCTGGGGGTCCAGGACAGAAGTGGTTCTGCACTGAAGCAGTTTTCCGGTCACTGACTTCTTCCCTTATCTCAAATCAGGTCAAAAACTGAGTCTCCAAGACTGGCCGATTTAAGAAAAAATAATTATTTGGGGGTTGAGCCACTCAAAGGATTTCACGTCATGCTTTGAAACTGGATTTTTACATCAGCTTTTCTAGAGAAAGCATCAAGCAGAATGTAATGACATTTCAATGACAAAAAATTCTCCCTTAAGTCAAAAAAAAAAAAAAAAAGCAATCCTAACATTGAAGAATGTGGACTAACTGACCCTCTTTGCAAGTGAATTCCTTTTTGAAAAGCAGCATTTTCCAAGAAAACAAGGTTAAGCTGGGAAGCTCCCAACCAGCTCCACAGGTCAGGCTGCTTAAAATTTACAGAAGCACTGGAAAACATATTTTGTGACAGAAGCAGTCATTAAAAGTCAGAAACATTCTCGGTTCTCTCAATGACATAGTTGTCCTGCTTGTTTTGCAGATGTAGAGTGTATTGCTCACTCACTTAATATAGAGTGGATTGAGAGTCTGGTGCCTGTGGCTGTTTCTTTACTAATGGAAGGTGAAAAAGATGTTTAATTTTGGCAAAAAGTTTAGCAAAAGTACCAAAAGTAACACTGTCAATAAACCATATAAAACTATGATTTACACACAATGAATTGCACTTGGAACGGATTTGTCTTTTTTATGTTTTTACTGCCAGACAATTCCTAAAAAAGCTTATCATTACCAAGCAAAGAACGTAGGAAATCAATATCTGGATGTAAAGAAATACAGATCTCTTTAGAAAGTAAAGATATAAATAGAAAAAATAATGCTGAAGTCCAAAAGTCTGCATATATCATACCCAGTCATGAAATTCCAGGTGTTTGTGAGAGTTGAAAATTATGGAATGTTGATTGGAAGGCTCTGACCACACTCCTTTCTTTAAAACTAAGCTGTTTGTATCAAGCATGCATTGGCACAGTGTGTGTAGAAAACGTGTGACTGCTGGATCTTTCTTCCACTGAATAAAAGTATACTCAGGGCTATGATGAGCCTTATTTATTTTGCAATAGGTCATAAATATCTTTCAAAGTGACTGGTATAAGGTTTTGAGCAGCTATGCTCTGCATTTCCTAGAAACCATTCAGGTAGGTTATCAAAGCAATCAGTTTTAAATACTAATCAATCTTGCGATAAATTTTCCTGAAGTGTCACAAGATGATAGAGAGGACTCTGATTTATTTATGTTTTCAGCTTAGCAACAGCTGGACATCTGATACTGGTTCTTAATTCAGTCAGTCCCATGACAATATGAAGCTTGATATTTCAGTACGTTTCACAGGCAGTGAGTGCTGTGACTTTTTCATCTAGAGAAGAAGAAGGAAATATTTTCTAATAAAAACTTTTAAAGCCATTTCCCAAGGGAAGTGAATCATAAAACTTAGAAAATGGAGCCGCCTTTTGTGGAAATTAAACCAAATGTCATCATTCTAAGGCTTAGAAAATCTTGTTAAAAATACACATTTTGCAACTCAAATATTTCTCACTAAAAATGAGAGGAAACTGCTAGGAGGCTTCATCTTATACTATTGCCTTCCTTTCCACAGATTCATGATGGAAACAATTTCTCACAGAACTGGCAAGGAAGTACCATACACCTTTGCTAAAATTGAACAAGAGAGCCTCAGACATTTGCTCTGAAATAGAAACTATCACCAAAGTAGAAAGTCCATACATCTTGAGGCTTGTCTTTAAAATCGACAGAATAACTACAAATGTATTAATGACACAATTCCTGCTTGTATCTATGCATGTAAAAAGAAAGTCCAGCAAGCACGTTTCTTTTATCCTCCATCATTTAATTAAAACTGTGTTTTGCCTCCTGTTCTGTATTAATTTTTTAAAATGTTTTTAGGGCAAAACAATATTTCTGCTGCACATATGTACAGCATCCGGCATAAACTACTACTTAGTCTGGCAATTTGAAAGTAGCATGCATAAATGAATGTAAGAAAAGGCACACTCCCTTCTACAGTCAGCATTGAAAATGTGCCAGGTATTCTGAAATTTTAGTCCTACATAATACTGCCATATTGTCCTCAAGGTTTACTTCTTGCTTGCAGACTTTCAAGTTGTCTATCAAACATCAAGCCATTCAAATTTAAAACATAAATTAAAAAGATTTTCCTACTTTAATCTCTAGCACAGACAATCAAGAATCATCAGAGTAAGATTTAAATTTCGGGATCTTGAACTGAGAAGAATCTTGCATAAAGAGGAAGAATACAATTCATCAAAGCATTCTTTTCTTGGTTTTCACTATTGTGGATTAAGTGTGTATATCTGTGTATGTGGAAAGGGGAATGGACAGAAGATGTGAGGATCACATGAGTTTAAAAACTTAGGGCTCATAAAGATCTGGAACCACCACATTATTCAAACAGGTCAATGAACTGCTTATCTTTAGCCCATGGTTCAAAGAAGATTAAAAAAAAAAAAAAAAAAAAAAAGAAAAGGTTGTTTTGGACTTTGTAAATGAAATTGCAAGACAGAGAAGTTATAGGCTTCTATAGTATCCCATAGCAGTAAATTATGTTCAGGCATTCTTAATAAGAGCTCAACCACTGAAGCAAAACAACTCAGCTGGAATGCAAAACAAAAACAAACAGGAATGCAGCTCCAGCATAATTTGAATTTAAAAACAACATCGGGAAGCCTTAAAAGAAAATTAACACTGCCCCAGCCAGTCCAATGAGCAGTTCCCCAAAGTGTAAAGACATGCCAGTCCTGGATTTAGACCTTCTCCCATTTTTTGGGAAATCCAAATTCAGTCCCAAAGAAATCCAGAAAAAACTTCAGACCTGACTTCAGAGAAAGTCAAATGCCCCTCCAAGATGGCAGGTAGTTATTCAGAAAGCAGCACAGGTCTCCAGTTCTGATTTTATCACAAATAACCATATTCACATTTCTGTATCTCCTTTCCACCTCTTATAGCGACTGACCAGCAGAAGACCTCAGGCCTGTCTTAAATTCTCAAAGCTAGACCTACTAGTTTTCAGCTCGTGTGAACACACCCATACTTCCAATACAGAGTCCTCCTGCCTTCTTTCTTCTATTCTTGGCTGTAGCTTTCTACATAGTTAGGTTTCACATGTATGCATTGCTGTATTAAGAAAAATACATAACACAAACATTTCTTGTAAGAATCGTGTTCTCCACATCAGACTGAACTAGTTACAACCGAAAAAGTCTTTGTTCTTTGATTTCTAGCTGACAGTGATTAAAACCTTGTTTATAAATATTTAGTTGATATGTATTTTGCTTCCAAGAATATCTTTCCACAGGTTAGAGGTACCACATATTATCACCCTGCATATAAAGTAACTCAACACATGTAGTGAGGGAGTGTCAAGGGAGGTGAATCTTCTCCTAAAAGTCAAAACATTTGTTTTTATACTGAAGCTTTTCATCTAAAACATTGCCAAATGTGAATGCCTAAAATATCAAGCTTCCTTATTAATGAACTGAGTGACACCAAAAGTTGTAGATGAACAGCTAGTTTTAAGCAAAATAGAATTTTCCTGTCTTCCAGCTGCTCATGCTGCATTGGATGGTAGAAAAGATACTGAGTTTGACATGTCTGCATTAAACGGCAGCAGGTGTTTTATACATGGCTCTACACAGCCACAGATTGCTGACTGATTTTCAAAAGTATCTAATATCTGCCATATGAGAAAGAATCTTTATTTATCCCAAATGGGAAACCTTCCACCAAAATGTAATATTTTTAAGGGATGTTCTGCTCAGAAGTAAGCTAAATGTTCAGTATCTTGGGCGTAATCAGAGCTCAAAATTTTAAAATTATCCCATCGGAAATCTAATAAAATATTAGGAAATCAATTTCCCACATCCTTTGTGTTTTAACCCATTTGCTTGCTTTTACTGTGGTCCAGGAGAAATTTTGGATAGAGTAACTATTGGTGGACAAATAAAATGAAGGCTTGCTTGGTTGGTTTGGGTTTATTTTCTCCCCCATTGTAATAGTTAATATTAAACCTATACTACCTGGCTTGTTTTAATTTATATGAGATGAATGTGGAGAATAGGGCATTTAAAAAAAACACAAACATTTGATCTTACTTAATCACAGTTATAAAGTACACTGATAGTATTTCCTTGCCTTTAGCTAATAACTTTCATGTCAGGTCAGCAAATTGTGTTATTTTCGTCATCATTTTTCTTGAATATAGTAATATGTGTGAGCAAGAAAATTATTAAATGACTTGATACAGGGTAAAGATCTCCAGGCCTCAGAAAAAAGGCAATGAGGAGACGTATAATTACAGTTGTCCTTCTAGCTAGGCACCCATAAGTCTGTGAGTGAAATCTTCCTGGTTTGGAAGTCAATATCAATTTTGCTGTTCTCTACATCCGTCATTTCTCCCCCCAGATATCAGAAGTGCTGCTACTGGGCTACCTATACTTCAGCTCAAATAAGAATTCTTATTTCTAAACGTGGCTGTACCTCTTGATTGAAGATTGTTTTCCAGATCACCATCACAGTTAGAGCCAGCCAAGGCTGTACCATCCTTCATACTTTCCAACTTACTATTTCAGTCAGTCAGCCCTCAAGTCCCACTTTATCAGGTGCGGTTCCGCATGTATAAACTGGGCTGTACATTTTTCCCTACGAAATTGTCACCAGTGTCCAGTGCTGTCACTCAAAACTGTAGGCCAGGACATGAAATAGAAAGAACCATGGTGTTGCTAACTCAGCATAGTACCAAGTGTGTACTCGGAGCTTAAAAAAACCCTTCTTGAGTATAATTTATATGCTTCAAAATTGTAAGTAACATTATTCTCTTTTTTTGGTTATTAGTTAGTCTTTTTGTCCTTTTGCTGAAAACTACAGGTAAAAATAATTACATTTATTTTGTAGACATTAAAGAACAACAAAAATGTGTTCCTAGAATGATTTTTATTTTTTTTTCCAGGAGTTGCATGTCCGGGCAGTAGCCATATAATACATTTGCAAAGTTCTGGAAATAATATATTGTGCTTAAATAAGTACTTTACAGTTTAGGCCACAGAGTTAATAACAGCTCTCACAGAGAATAGAAATAATGTGTATGTGAGTGAAAGAGAAAACAGGCAAGGTTAGAACAGGCAAGGTAGGACTAGAGAACACATGAATGTGTGGCAGAGATCATCTATTTGTAGCTGAAAGAGCGCTCAAAACTGGTTTTTCAGGACGTGGGCGGAGGAGATTCTGTTTTGAAAGAAATTAAGCTTTGGTACTGTCATTAATGTAAAATCAGCTGCTAAGTCAAAACCTAAATTTGCACATGCTTGCAAATTAGTAATATGTGATCAGTTTAAATTAGTTCTTTTTTTTTTTTAATGGATTGTAGAAGGGGGAGTGATAATTTTAATAATGGTTTTGGTTGGGTTTTGTTTTTTTTTTCCCAACTCTTTCACTTTTCTATATTTTTAGTAAAGAACCCTTCCTACTTATAAATGAGTTCACTTCATGTAAAGGTATTTTATTGTGTCACAGGAGAATGGGTACTTTTGTTGTCTCTTTTGCTATGGTGGAAATGAAAACAAGCTGTTGCAATTTTTTTTCTAAAATTATGCATGTGAAGCAAATTCACGTAAATGAGGTTTTTAATGCTTTTTAATTTTAGATAAGGATTCTAAAGAAAGAATAAAGAAACAACAAAACTAAGGAGAGTGCAAAAAATACATTAAAACAGCCATTGGTAAAAAGTGGTCTGAACAGTGAGCTTGTCAGCAGGGAAATAGCATTAGAATAAAATATAATGAGCAGTATAATGTATATATGAAGTAATTAAGCCAGTATGGCCAAGAGAAGATGTCAGAAAGGTCCAAGGAATCTGAAATGAACCTAAAATGAAACACTCTGAGGGTTAAATTTTCTTAGTCAAGTTCTCCACACTTCTTTAAAATAAGATTCTTTGAAACAGGATCGTAAATTGGACACTAAGAAATCACAGAACACCTGCAAATGTAGAACTTTCCATACATGGAATATAAACCCAGAAAAGTAAATGTCCTTACCTAGAAGTTAGTGTCCTAGAGTGGCTCAGTATGGTAAGTCAACCTGTAGATATCTGAAAATGAGGTACAGTCAAGGCAGACAGAGAGCTGAATTGTCCTTCCCCATCCAGCTGTCTGAAAAGCCAAGAGGTTTCTCCTTCCGAGGCTGAGTCACTTAAGGAGGAGGTAGGAGGTGTGGAAAAGGGTGGCACCTTGTAGAAATACCAGATCAATTAAAAGTACAGGTGAGTTGTTACACTTCTGTGTTTGCTGTACTTTTCAAGTGCAGTAGGGCTGGGTTTCACAAAATGAAACACTTTCAGACCTTGAAACAAAAAACCCAAGCAATTACTATTTGGAAAAATATGCTGCAGTCGTTTGAATTTCCCACAGAAATGTACATTGCAGAGTTACAGGGCTGACTCTCAGCTAAAGGGTTTCAGGTATTTTATGCAGGTAAGCATGAAGAAACACCGTATTTCATCAAAGGAAAATTCTGCAGAAGTGTTACATACACTGGAATCCAATATGCATTAAGCACTTGCACTGTTTGAGTATGTGGGCAGAGGCAAAAGATCTGGGGAGGGAAACTCCCACACGAGATCTTGTTGTAAGTCTCTCTTATCTCTGCCCATCTGCATTCTCCTTCAGCACAGGCAGTAATAAACAGAAAAGGGAGAAGAGACTGCCTTCCCTTTCCTTTCTTTAAAATGGCTGCAGTACATTTCTCTGTAGGCTAACAAGTGCCTTACTATTAACAAACACAACAGCAGGGAATCAATAACTTCCTTATGGGACTGTTATAGGATAATAGGACTGTATCTATGCATATATCTTAATAACCCTATGGTTATGCTTAAGATACAGAATCTATTCAATGTATTTTATACAAACCCTCACTTATTTTGTATCTGGATAGCTTTTGTAATTAAATATGTGAGATGCCATTATGCAAGACGCTGGGTAACCTTTAGTCCTATTGTCTTTTGTGAAAGTGAAGAAAACTGACACAAGTTAACTTAGTTTCTCTTTAGCCATGTTTCTAGTCCTTACTTTTGTTGATGTTTACATCTTCATAGGCTTGGTACTTAATAGCACCAAGTTGTCTAAACATTGGTTATATCTGATGAAATAGAGCTGATGAAGCAGAGCAGCAGTCAAGACAATACCAAGTATAAACTACTAACTACCACACGCTTCAGAATTAATGAACACAAACAAGCAAACATTTCTGAACTTCATACATCTCACTTCTGTGTTTCTGAATATGAAAAATACCTGTAGCAGTCCTGGCATGTTCAGGTACACTGTTTTATATGTTTATCTTTTTATGATCAAGAAGAAAATGTTGTGAATGCATCTCTTTACAGACATACTACAATTTTACAACTGTGACACACATGCCTTGCAAATGAAACAGATGTCTTTCTTCATGAGAAATGCACAGTGGGAATTAGCTTAATTTAATTTGTTAGCCCATATCAGAATTCGAATATTGTCTCCCTTATTCCCCAGTTGAAGCATATACAGTATTCTGGACACAGATTTTTTAGCAGTGTCAAAAAAGCAATGCAAAAAGTAGAAGTGAGTATGTGCCTCTGTATTGACAACCAGTGATTTCTAATCAAAGGATGTAATTTACCTAATCACTGTATTGACAACCAGTGATTTCTAACCAAAGGATGTAATTTACCTAATCACCATGCTGGGCCATGCTTTACTATTGATTTATCAGAGCTGAAGGAATTTTTTTAGTTCAACCAGTAACAACAGTAACTCATTTCATATCTACCTATAACCATAATGCCTATATAATCTGCTTGTTGAGAGCTGGCTACATACTCTGCTTCTTCTTGCCATTCTCTCAAGGACAAAGAAGAACTTCTCTGAAAAATATACAAACATAAATGGCCACATCCTAAGCTGATATAATGGGATATAACTCCTCCAAAATCATTCTGACAGCTTGATTTACATTAGCAGAGTGCATGGTTTGATATGACTTATGAGAGAAAACAAGAAATGTCTGAGAATTCCTCCTTACAATAACTTCTGGTTTAGATTCATTAATAACAAGCAGTAGGGACACATTACTGATTAGTAATCAGAGGTCACTATCTCTTGCTACTTAGAACTCTAGCATATTTTGGAGGCCATTCCTAACAAGCTCTTTTTAAATAGCGTAGGCTTATTGGTCATCCAAAGAATTCTTAAAATGCCTCCTAAGAAACTGAAAGTAGGGGATGCTGAATTTTAAAATAGAGCACTGGCAGAAAAGAGAACATAACTGGTTCAGAAATGCCATCATTTAGATTTGAATAGCTTATTCAGTGTTATTTAATTTAATTTACATGTTTAAGTACAAAACATACTTCAAAATATTACACTACTGCCACATTCTTATTGAGCTTTTATGTAGATTCACAAGAGATAGATGGGAATGAGCAATGACCCAGCAGACATTATTTTGGACAAATACCATTCTGTGGCTCCTCCCAGAAAAGGAGGAATACATTAGTGAATGCATTTTTTTTTCATATACTCAGTCCTCCAAAAGAGAAGTCCTTTTAATACTTTAGACTTCCCAAGTATGATTGATAAACTATTGTTTTCTGGGTTATAAGATGGTATTATTATAACTGTCCTTCCAAAAGATTTAAAGATATTCTAGCAAGTGCTGTTTAAGTTTTTTAGATTCAAGATACAGGTAAAATAGCTACATTTATCCTATTAAGTCAAACATCCCAAAGCCCAGTCCCAGATGACAAGTGACAGCGTGGTTTGTACCGATATCACTAAACTTACTTTCCAAAAAGAACCACGTGGCCTCATCAATAGTCCTATTGGAAACAGTCAGGCTTTCTAATAGGAGAGATCCACGTGCAAGGGTTTTTTCAGAGACAACTAATTGGCAGGAACAAAACTGTGTCAAGCACTGTGCATGATAGCGGGATGGACAAACAGTGGCTATTGCTGAAGCCCAGGCCTTACCCCTACTTAGTTAACCAGTGTGGTCTTACTCATTGGATCTGATTTTTCCAAAGTGAATTGTGTTCAACACAACTCATGGCAAAAAATGACTAAAACTAGACACTCTAAAACATATAGGTAGGTGTTGACAGTGGATGATGGCCAGCTGCCAGACAGCATTTAGCAGGCAGACGCAGCTAGTTAATGTAACCATTATCTGCGAGGTAGGTTGCACATCTGTGCCGTCCACACATTTTTCTTGCTTCAGCCTTGTCTAAGATCACCTGTATAAGTAGGCAGCAGTTCTATCAGGTTAAGTTAAAAGGAGAAGGGTCATTTAAGGAAAAAAGAACCCAGGGCAGCCAATGTAATACTAATTTACATAGAAAAGGAAGTGGTGCTCAAGCATAGGGTGACACCTTCCTTTTGAAGGTGACTAACACAGGACTGCTCCTCCCTTAATTCTCAGTCATAAAATAAGGGGATGCTTAGACTTGTGCTACCTCTATATACAAAGGTACTTTTCACCCCTGGTCAAAATAATTATCCAAGGGAACATCTTGCCTATGGGTACACCCTTACTAAGAGGTACGTATGACTCAGAACCAGACTAGAAATGGTTGTGTGAACCCTCAGCAGCATTCGTCACTGCAACAGAGAAGAGAGGGAGAAAAAAGAGTATGATTATTTTATTTTTTTTTCCATGAGCAGGTTACTCCTATAGGATTTCTGTAACTTTCCCTTGAAGATTCTGGTCCTGCTCCTAGACACATCTCAAAATAAAAACAAACTACAGATGAAAACTCCCTTTCTCCATGGCATCCTAGCTTATATTAAGGTGTCTGTTTAAAGGTATATAAGAAATGTCCTTGGCAGCCTTGCAAAGGGCAACTACTCACAGTGCCAAGTACCTGAGAGCCGTTTTTAACAATTTTATCCCTCCATTGGTGTTCAAAAAGTCAGAATTCCTCTGCTTAATCCACATGCAAGGCTCATCTCCAAGCATGTCTAACCCGTTCAAAGGACAGGATGAAAAAACAACAGCCTACCAATTGGAAAAGTCATTTAACCTATGTCTAGCCTCAAGTGCAAGTAATTTCTCATTTTGACAGCAGCCCTTCTTTACCAGCAGACTACTTTAACCACCAAGTTATATTTTTCATGGGAGGGAACACAATTGCTACAGCTTTTGTACTCTCTAAATATTCACTGAAGAGAGAATAGTGCCACAGCTCTTTTACTATAATATACAGATATTGGTCTCATCAATGTCTAAATTAATATTTAGGTATCACATATAGAATTCTTCTTATATTGTATTTTTCAGAATTTTATAACGAGTAATTAAAATACATATAGAGAAAAGTAATTTTGTAATATCAGGTAGCAACAGCTGTTGTGCAGATGAATAACAAGTTAAAGCCACTTTCAAGTTAAAGCCACTTTCAAAAGGTTGTGTTACTGTTAAAGTGCGTACAACATTTCAGTAAGTCTGATATGACATACCAGAATGCCTGAGGGATTATGTTGTGTTTTACAGATTAACTTTTGCCAGCCCAGTTTATATTTCCTATTGCTATTGCAGGTTGCCATTCCTGGGGAAGACCTTTCAGCTGCTTAAAGTAAGGTATGCAATCTGCTGTTTAACCGCACCTTCCTGAATACAGGAAGGAGCACTGACAGGGCTTTTTCATATGCATTTTTTAAATGTGACAGTGCAGACATATTTTGCAGCCCATTGTTCTCCCAAAAGGTGTGGCAAAGTTCATAAACTAAAGAAGGAAATAAAAAATGCTATATATAGCATGTCAAATGTCTAAATCACTGCTTCTAGTTGTCACAGAAAATGGCTGAGCAGTGGCTTCTGCTTTCCTTTCTAAAATTCTTGGCAGAGAAAAATGCTAATCACGGCAGATCCACAATCTCCAATGTCAGTGGGCCTGATTTGCCCGCAATTTGAATACCTCTCTACTCTGCAAATGAATGAAATACCTTGCTGAAGCCTCTGAAAGCCTGGTCCATAGTATGCTAACCTTGTATATCTTGATCTTGAACCACTACTGTTATTACCTTACATAAAGAACACAAAGAGACACTGATAAAATCAGTTATCTATAGAAAACTGTGCTGTATTTTTATACAGCTAAATCAGGTGACATCTAAGTGGTACCAGCTGAATGGCTGTAACCAGCCTTATAGTTTATGTTAACTGATAAA